TGTAAAGTGTGTTGGAGAAACTATGGTGGCTGTGAAACTTCCAAAAACGCAAAAGGCCCTTTTCTAGAGTCAGTTTGGTTTGTCCCTTCTGTCCTACTGTAGAAACATGGCAGTTCAACATGGCAGACTCCATGGAAGGTGACCCATGGCGTCAGCATTTTAAACAATAAAAATCTATCCAATACAAATCAACCAAATCAGTTTAGTTCAGTGGAATTGCTGCAATCAGTGTATTCCATTGCCCCAGGAAGAGCGCCAGGCTTGGAAGCCAGTTTGACATAGTGGCCAAACTGTGTAATGACAACAATAGTGTCCATCATGTTAATGCACAGGGGCCTTAAAAGACTTTTTCTCATAAGTTTACATTGTGAAAAGATTCATTTCACTATCAGAATAGTATAGCATCCATTCGGTCCAACATCATTTGGAAAGTCTAGAAAAGCTGCGTGATTCAATCATTTTATCCCCTTTCAAGTTAGGGTTAAACCTGAAGTTAGCAGCCAGAAGTCTCTGGTGCGCTTTCTTTATGGGCCCCAAAATGGTGAGGCTCTGGGTGATTTTATACCCAGAAATTGGACTTTTTTGTCTTCAAGCACCACTGAGCAGCTCTCAGGGAATGGAGCCCCACCTCCAACGCTGTATCCAGTTCTCCCTTAACACATTCATGGTGTATTAACTTGCGCACCTTTCACATTAAGGTTTACATTGGTGAACTTTTCCACGAGAATTTGTGCCATTAGCCACACAAATGACAGATCTAACCTTTGAGGTATGGAGATCTGGAGATTTCAAAACAGAATAAGTTATGGTAGCGTATTAGTAGTTGCACCATCCACTTTTATTTAACCTGCTGGATTATAAACTGCTTCACATAAGAGACATGTCTTTAAGACAATTATGAGTCAGCGGGTGATGATACACATATGTATCTTGAATAAACTTTCTGTTCTGTTAACAACTTCTACAGTTACTAGCTAGCTTGTAGAGCTATTGTGACTAACTTGTGGTAAGAAGGTTCCCTGGCTATGGCGTGTTCGTTGTTAGCTCCCTAGCTATAGTATTTACTTATTTTACTTACTTACAGAACATACATTGATTATGTGCATAAATCATACAGTATGTACAAACAAAACTTAGTAGTAACTAGACGTCTCCGGTAGTTCATGTATTAGCTGTGTGATAGACACAAGCTTCCAGAAAAGCCTATTTTCCCAAGATGCACTGAATAACTTTTTGCTGTGACCGGCCAATTTGAATTTGACTCAGCTGTGTGTTCTGTGCACAAAGCTGAGATTTGTTTGGTCTATAAATAATCAGAAGTAACAACTTGTAACATCTTTGATTATATTTCAGACTTTTCAGACGTAACTCTGATCCCATCTGCCAACATCCCACAGGTTAATTTTCTGTTTTCAGCCCTGGTTCTATATTAGGTGAACATTCACCGTTTCCATTCCCTCCCACTTGGGACTGATCCATTTTCAGATTTGAGCACCGGCGCACTTTGATGTCACGGCACTTGTTGTCAAAATGTCTACAAAGTGACGTAAGAGTTTGTCTGTTATAGAAGAGACTTGGGCTTTATGCACAGCAGGGTGGCAAAAGGGTTTAAGTGGTGAGAAAGACTACGTCTGTTACAGAAGAAGTTGTGTGCAGAGGATGTCCTCAGATAGTCTGAAGAAATGCTTTAAATTGACTAAAGTGGGCCTAAATGAATTGTCTTTCTGAAAACACACAGATATGTATGTGAGAGACAGGTTCATAATTACACCTAATCTGTTGTGCGAGCAGATGTTAAAGTAGGTGTTCTAATTGGATGTCGCCCTAATAGTGCCCTAGTGACCAACAGTCTTGTGTGCCATGTAAAACAATATGGACTGCTTTGTTAATTAAATAATACTAGTTAATGAATAGATAAATGAAAACAATCATCATATATTATAAATATGATATACATTAACATGACAGCTTAAATACATTGGAGTGGCATTTTTCACAGTATACATTTTGACAATTCATAGAAGGAAAAGCATGTATAAACATCCTGTTGATGTTCATGGCTTACACTTAAAGAACAGAGTCAATGTGAATATGGGTAACACATGCTTTTCCTACTATGACAAGAACGAATATCTGCTAGGAAAAAGGTTTATTGTGTGAGTATATCCAGCTGCAGCTGCAAACATGGACGTGAAGGAAGTCCAAATATGGTTAGTGGACTGGTTGGGTCACAGAAGAGACTGCGGACAAAACGTGAAGACATTTATCTCAACATACCGAACTACAAAGGCTAATTCAAGATTCAGAAATGAGACCAAAACATTTTTTTTCATTTATTTTTTTTGGGCCTTTTGTTGGCTTTATTTTATAGAGACAGCTGTAGAGAGACAGGAAA